AGAGGAAGAAGGGAAACGGGAGAGAGGATGGAAAGGGGAGGGGGAAGTGGAGGGGGAAGAGGAGGGAGCAGGGGAGGGAGAAGAGAGAAAGAAAAGAGGGAAGAGGAGGGGGAAAGTAGAGGAAAAAGGGGAAGGGGAGGGAAAAGGAGAAGGAAAAGAGGAGGGGAGGAGGAAGAGGAGAGGAAGAAGGGAAGGGGAGAGAAGAAGGAGAGAGAAGAGGGGGAGAAGGGGAGTGGGAGGGAAAAGGGAAAGGAGAAGGAAGACAGGGAGAAGAAGAGTAGGAAAAAGGGCGGGGAAGGTCCTGCTCACCCTCCCCACCCTCAGACCTCGCTAAGCCTACTAAATGGCAGCATGGCACAGGAAGGCTGTGTCTACTGAGGCCACGCCCCAGACGCAGCTTCACCCTCTGCAGCCGGGTTGGGTGGATGTGGCCACTTTTCACATGCTGCCTGGCTGAGGGCTCCCTGCTGAGCACTGGGCAGTCCCTCAGGACCCCAGGGCCCAGGACCCACACACCTGCAGGAAGGTATGGCTGGCCCCATGCTGCACCCACCCAGCACCCACCTGCACCCCTAAGCCCACGGGGTCAGCATGTAGCACCAGAAAGGCCCGGTCGCCCCCCGTGGATGTCACATGGATGTAGTTCTCCAAGATGGGGGGCCGCCTCAGGACAAGACGGTGGGCAGCGGACGAGGCCCGCATGAGACCTGCATCAGCAGCAGCATCCAAGACTCTAGGAAGGAACAGGGCTCAGTCTCAGGTTTAGGGATAGGGCCCCAGGCCTCATTAGAGAACAGGATCCTTCTAAGACCCTAGAACATTGGGGTGGGACGCGCATGCCCCAGGCCACACACCCGTGGCTCCACAGCTTGGTGGGAATCTCAGGACTTGGTGGGGGGGTGATGTCCCTTAGCTGGCAGTCGGGGGACAGTGGCTCCTGCATCTCCTCTGGCCTGAAGTTCAGCTTCTTGACCACCTCCAGCCTGGGCCGTTTGACCCTGGGGGCTGCAAGAGACATATGCAGGAACAAGTGACCCTCCCACAGCTCCACACCCACACGGATGCCCTGGACCAAGGGTTCGCAACACCCAAGCAACGGACAAGGTAAGCCACTCCCCATGGCCTGCAGGACCACCTGAGCTCCAACTCCAGTCACATCAGGGTGGTGTCAGATTATCATAAGAGCGAGCCCTGCTGTAAACTGAGCTTTGAGGGATCTAGGGTGCAGCTCCTTAGGAGAATCCAACGCCTGGGAATCTGAGGTGGAGCGGAGGCAGTGATGCTGGCCCTGGGGAGCAGCTGCAAGTGCAGAGGAGTGTGAGCTGTGAGGCTGGACTGTGCATCCCCCGCCGTGGAAAAGTGGACTTCCACAAAACCGTCCCTGAGGCCAGAAAGGTTGGGGACCGTTGCCCTAGATCATCCTGCAGACGTACTGGAGGGTAGCGGCCTGGCCTGCCTCTTCCCAGGGCCCTCCTGGCGGCTCCGGAGGGAAGCATCTCGAGGGGCCTGGATGGTGGCCTGGCCTCCAGCGCGGGGCTCCTCCAACGTCGGCTGGCACCCGCCCGCCGGGGACGGGAGAACCCGGGAGGGGCTCAGAACGGGTGGCCCTGCTGGAGAGAGGACTCTAGACGTCGCCCCGGGACACAGGCAGTAGGTCCCTCCGGCAGCGCGACGCCGACAGGCCCTCCGCCTGAGATCTCCGGGTTCCCGGGGCCTCTTCTGAGCAGACAGACCTCCCTGCCCGCCCAGAGGCGGGGTTAGATATACGGCCTAGCGGCGGGGGTCACGGAGAGGGGACGGCGGCAGGGCCAGGCTGCGCCCCAGGGCCGCGCCCACCTTCCAGCTCAGCCAGCACCTCCAGCTCATCCGCAAACCGGCTGTGGAAGTCGTCCTCGACGCCGCACAGCTCTCGTCCGTGGTCTTCCATGCTGGCCCCGGGACTCGCGCTCCGAACTTCCCGCGCCGCCGCCGCGCGCCGCCGCGCGCCGCCCCACCCCAAGCGTGCCCCCGCCGCCAATCAGCAGCTGGGGAGCTGGCGGCCTCGCCATTGGACAGCGAGGCGGGGGCGGGACAGCGCTCGAGTGGGCGGGGCCGAGTTCCGGCTCAGTCTTCGTGGCCGCGGGCCCCGAGCTGCTCGCTATTGGCCAGAGCTGCCGCCCTTCCACGGTGAGGGCGGGCCAGGGCGGGGCGAAGGAGGGCGGAGCACAAAGCGGGCGAGGCCAAGTTCCTACTCAGCAGTCGCAATCGCGGGGCCCGGTGTGCTCACCATTGGCCGGCGCAGCCGCCCTTCCACGGCTGGGGCGGGTCGTGGACGGGACGGAGAAAGGCGGTGCCAGCAGCGGGCGGGGTCAAGGTCCTACTCTGCAATCGGAGCTGCGGCCCCGGGGTGCTCGCCATTGGCCGGCGCCGCAGCCCTTCCTCGGGCGAAGGGTGGGCGGGCGCG